CGCTTTGTGGATACCGATTTAATTTTTGCTAGAGCATGTTTATTTGATTATGTGTCTAGCTATTTTAAATCATTTTTTCTGGCATGCTAGAAATCATGTAATAGGTGCTTTTAATTCTTATAAAGTTGTTATTGCTTTTATTTGAATTGTAGGAGCATGTTAAGGTTTATGTGATTTGTGTGTTAGAAGCATGCTAGGAATTTTATTATTTCTTGTTGCATGTTGATAAAACCTTCAAGTAAAAATGACTAAGTGAGTTTAATATGAATTTTAATTAATTCATTTGACCTCCACAATTGGTCTTTAAGTAAGGTGTTTGTCGCTTGCGGGACCCTAGGAGTCTCCCCCTAACGGATGCGACATTCACGAGCTCACTAGATAAGACTTCTATTCAAACGACTTGATCTTTAGGTGAAGTGAGTGGCATACACGTGACCCATGGGTTTTCCTCCCTAACAGATAGTGTCATTAAGTTCACCGGTAAAGATTATTTCGAGATAACCGTAGAAAATTATTTACAAGCGATGTGTCTTCCCCATCGGTAAGTTCATCAATTGTGGATGATTGTTCTTGGGGTTAAATTATGGTCATCACTTAGATGTGAATTTTATTATAACTCCCCAACGGAATCCCTGTTTTAATTCACATGGCTAGTGTTAAAATTTAGACTATTAATTTCATTCGTCATAAGGAAAGGTTGGCATGCAATTGATATTAATGACTGGTATCTGCTTGATGGACATACGTCCACCCTAATGTGGCTTGCATGTGTGTTTGTTCAAGTTGTCGAAGGATGCGTTAAATAATGGTTTTTAAGGTTTCTATATTTTATGCTTCAAATTTATGTGAATTATTGCTTACGTGTTTGCAATTATTTATTTCAGTTATTCATCATATCATTCAATCCACTTATGACCATTCTCAATCAAAACAAGCTTACTGGTCCAAATTATTTGGACTGGAAGAGGAATCGGGATATTGTCCCTGTTGCTGATGAGTACAAGTTTGTGCTCACCACACCTGCTCCTGCTCCTTTGGGCGCCGCTCCTACTGAAGAGGAACGAGAGGCTCATCGGAAGTGGCACAAGGCTGATGAGATGGCTCGTTGCTACATCTTGGCATCTATGTCAAATGTTTTGCAATAGCAGCATCACACCATGCCTACTGCTGCTGACATGATGTTGAGTCTCAAGGAACTCTTTGGTGAGCAAGATAGGGCTGCTCGATTTGAGGCTATGCGGAAGATTATGTCTTCTGTCATGCCGGAGGGACCTTTTGTGCGAGAGCATGTTCTCAAGATGATGGAATATCTGAATGAGATAGATGTGCTCGGAGAAAATATCGATGGCGATGCCATGATCGATATCATTCTGCACTCGCTCCTGAAGTCCTATGAGAACTTCCGCCTGAATGCAATCATGAATAAGAAGGGCTATACTCTAGCCGAGCTTCTTACGAACTTGGTTGCGGCGGAGGGTCTTATGGGAAGGGGACCACAGGCTCATCTTTCTGTACAAACTGGACCTTCTTCGTCAAAAGGCAGGAAGAAGAAAAAGCAAGTGCAGAAAAAGAGTGGTGGAACCAGTGGGGACAGTGAGAATAGTGGGAGCAAAGCTGTAGCACCTTCTGGTGGCATGCAGAAGTCGAAAGGCAAGTGCTTCAAGTGCAACGAGACAGGACATTGGAAGTCAGATTGTCCCCTCAAGGACGTTCCTGGTACGCCTCTTGCATTAGTTGTCGAAACATGTTTTGCGGCTTGTTCTACCAGTTCTTGGGTAGTAGATACATGAGCCACTGATCATGTTTGTTATACTTTACAGGGGTTTCTGCAAAGAAGGCAGCTCAGTGAGGGCGAGATTACCATCAGCTTGGGCAACGCTGCATGAGTGGCGGTGGTTGCAGTGGGAGATGTGCACTTATCATTTTCTGATTCTGTTTTAGTATTAAAGAACGTTTTATACGTGCTGAGTTTTCGGAAGAATTTAATTTCGATTCCGAAGTTGTTTTTGGATGGATCTTCAGTTATTTTTAATGACAATGTTGTTATTATGAGAAATAACTCTTTTATCTGTTCTGGCATGTTGGTTAACAATCTTTATACTATCACTTGTGCATATCATACTGTGACTGAGGCTCATGCATCTTCATCACTAGACAAGAGAAAAGAACCTTCTCAGTCGAATCAAACATATCTTTGGCACCTAAAGTTGGGTCATGTCAATCTAAGGAGGATCCAAAGGCTGGTAGGTAATGGCTTCTTGGATTCTTTCCAAGTTGGACCATTTCCAGTCTGCGAATCTTATTTGGAAGGTAAGATGACTTGTAGGCCTTTTAAGGCCAAGGGGAATAGGTCTAATGATGTGTTGGAATTGATACACTGTGGTTTTGAGTATTTCGTTACTTTTATTGACGATTACTCGAGATGTGGGTACATTTACTTGATGCGTCGAAAGTCTGAATGCTTTGACAAGTTCAGAAAATTCAAGGAAGAAGCGGAGAACTGTCAAGGGAAAAGTATCAAGTCACTCCGATCTGATCGTGTTGGCGAATACTTTAGCAATGAATTTAGGCAATACTTATTGGAGAATGGGATTACATCCCAGCTGAATGCGCCTGGTACTCCCCAACAGAACAACGTAGCAGCGAGAAAGAATAGGACTCTGTTGAAAATGGTGAGATCGATGATGAGCTATGGTTCATTACCTATCTCGTTTTGGGGATACACCTTGGAAACAACGGCTTACCTTCTTAACTTTGTGCCTTCTAAATCGGTTCTGAAAACTTCAATAGAATTGTGGTCCGGGCGCAAGCCTAGTTTAAACCATATTCAGATTTGGGGCTGCCCTGCACATGTGTTGGATAAGGAAGCTGATAAGTTGGCACCTAGAATAGAAGTACGGCTGATTGTAGGTTATACCTAAAGGGAACGAGAGGTGGTTAATTTTATAGTCCTAAAGACCAGAGGGTGGTGGTAAGCACCAATGCCCGGCTTTTAGAAGAAGACTATATGAGTGAGCATAAGTCCAAGAGTGAGATTATTCTCAAAGAGTTGAGGTAAGACAATGGCATGCTGAGTGTGCAAGAGAATATACCACAAGAGACTACACAACATGTTGACTCTGATGTATTTACACCTGAACTGCCTCGTCGTAGTGGGAGGGTTGTTCGTCAGCTCGATCGTTTCATGTTTGTGGGAGAGTCTTCAGACTTGATCTCGAGTGAAGAGCATGATAGTGATCTCTAGACCTACAATGAGGCAATCCAAGATGTAGATGCAGATTTTTGGCAGAAATCTATGGATTCTGAGATTGAATTTATAGATGCTATGGAGGTATACGACCTTAGGGACCTTCTTGAGGGCAAGAAAGCCATTGGGTGCAAATGGGTCTATAGGCGTAAGAGAGGATCTGATGGGCAAGTTGTTGCCTTCAAGGCACAGTTGGTTGCGAAGGGTTTCACTCATAAAGAGGGAATCGATTATGATGAGGCCTTCTCTCCGGTAGCCATGCTTAAGTCGATCCAGATTCTCTTATCCATAGCATCACACATGGACTATGAGGTTTGGCAAATGGATGTCAAGACAACGTTCCTTAACGAAAACTTGGATGAAGACATGTATATGCAGCAACCCGAGGGTTATGTGAAGAAAGGCTAAGAGCATCGAGTATGGAAGCTAAAGAAGTCTCTTTATGGACTCAAACAAGCTTCTAGGTCTTGGAATATTCGTTTTGACGAGGTGATCAAGTCCTACGGATTTGACCAATGTCAAGATGAAAGTTGTGTATACAAAAAGAGCAACAGAAACGTAGTGGCATTCTTAGTACTATACATAGATGATATTCTTCTCATCGGCAACGATGTTAAGATTTTTTCAGACGTAAAGGTATGGCTTTCAGAATAGTTTCAAATGAAGGACTTGGGTGAGGCATCGTACATTCTTGGAATCAAGGTCATTCATGACAGGAAGAAGAGAATGTTGTGTTTATCCCAAGCCGCTTACATTGATACTGTGATTGCTCATTTCAGCATGCAGAACTCCAAGAAAGGGTTGCTACCTTTTCGGCATGGAGTTCCTCTATGTAAGGATATGTGTCCAAAGGCATAAATAGAGATGGAGGAAATGGCTAAGGTTCCTTATGCTTCAGGTGTATGAAGCCTTATGTATGCCATGCTGTGCACGAGGCCTGATATTTGCTATGCGGTTGGCATGGTAGCGAGATTGTTTGTCCCATTTTTGTTACGTTTTTCGTGTCTGTTTTCTCGTTCTTTTTCCCCCATTTTAGATCGTTTAGATGAGTTTTAGTTCATTTCAAAGTTTATTGTGCGTTTATCTCTATTTTGGTTTTTCTTGTGTTTTCCGTATGTTTTTTCGGTTTTTCCTCGTGTATAGTGTGTAGGTCGAAAGTTTCGCGAAGATCGAATTTTGGGCAAAAGTCAGTTGGGCAAGCATAAGTAGATAGACGAGTTCGTTGGGAGCACACAGGAAAAAGCGGAATCGAATTCCGAGTGAAACGAGCTCAAACGGACCCGAGAAGCAAAGCTGTGCGAGCTGCTCACCTGCCCAGNCCCCGCCGCGGCGCCTGACCTCTCCGTGCCGCGCCTACCCTTCGCGCCGTGACATGTTTTTTCCCACGCTGTGACATGAGATTTATATAAATACTTTGTGTGATGCAATTCTTAGGTTGCCTGCCCAAAAAGCAATATTTATGTTGGCTTCTTTATTTATTGTTTCATATCATATATCAGTACTGTATACATTCCAAGTTTTGCCGTAACACACATTTTACATGCTCGTATTATGAGGGGACTACAAGAAGTCAAAATCTTGGAAACGTACGATCGGTAGATTTTTGTTTACGAGATTATATTGTGACAAATGGTCTTTCCGTTGCAACACCTTCCTATCTACTTATTCATATGGTGTTTTTCCACTTTGTCTTGCAACGTACCCAAGCATTTCTATTAGTTTCAATTTTCTCCGCTCAAATATTCCTACAATCTCAATTAGACCCACCTTTATTCACCTCTATACTCTTTCTCTTTGTTGCATTCCAACCTGTAATTAGAATTACAATTTTTAATGCAATAAGTTCTGATTCTTCATCAGAATACTCTGTGTGAAGAGGTAAATTCATATAATTAAAATCTAACATTAAGGGTCAGACTAAAGCTCAGTCCAGTAATGGATGCTTAACCAGTAGGAGTCAAATGTCAAACCCATTCCAATAAATTATGTATCAAATGATTATCTGTTAGTTTTTGTAACTGAATACCTGGGGAAAATATCAAATAGTTTATTTATTTTTGTGGTTTGAAATTTTCAACAAAATAACATGTGTCTTGTCTGCTCAATGCTCTACGAGGGAGTTTAATTTCATGTTTCTTTCATGTTTGTACTCATGTTGGCTGCTCCAGGTGTGTGGGGTGCGGACTTCTGCACGCGAGAGTGCTGGCAGGTATGTGGCTGTTTGCCTGCTGGTGCACGATTAGCGACCAACAAAGATTGGAGACAGAGAGTGTTTGATGGTTCAAGAGAACACAAGCATTTTTCTATAAAATACAATAAATAAATTGAAATCACAAAATAGTAAAAAACTACATGAAAACAGAAAATGAGTAAAATGAACTTTAATAGATTGAAAACATTTAAAATTAATTCCTAGGCTCAAAAAACACAAAATATAATAACAAAAATATGCAAGTTAATTGATGCAAACCGGGCATAAGCACGCAGGGGCAACCGGCGCATCCGACGAGCAACCAGCTGGACAGAGCGAGCCACGGTGTGAGCAGCAGAGCATCGCACCGCCGTCACGCTATGAGTACCATCACAACCGAACAGAGGCTAATGGCAGGCGAAGCATCGCGCCACGACGGCTACACCTTCTTAACGCCACGACCAGCTTCACGAGGCAACAAAGGCATAGCAGGGAGCCAACTCCTCAACTTCTTGTGCGCTCCGTGTCTATTATGGCATTTCAACATGCCTCTAAACTCTTCAGTCCATATATAGGAGGCTACTTGCCCTGAAAAGCTAGGAATAACACTCCCATCGAGAGGGCCACCGGACACTGGGCCTGTAACGGCCCAGGCTTCTGTAGGTGCACTCCTATATCGTTTGCTAGTACCAGACATTAGAATATAACATATATATCGGCATATTGTGACTGACTGTATCAATGATATGTTATTATTGAATAAAAATATTTAATGGTAATCAACAATAAGTACGGATCCAGTGCTCGCAAAACGACCCCCAACACGTGGAGGAGCAGGTCGTGCAGGAGCCTGTTGTGGGGGAGGAATGTCCTGGTTATCTACTGACTCAAAGACCTCAGAATCCTCTGAGAACTGCAGCCTCTTGGCCGTCGACTCATAATAATCATCCCGCTGCTGGAAGCAGGATTGCTGACTGGTCCGTACTAGTGTGAGGCGTCTCGAACCGCCAGTCTGGACAGTGTGACCAGTCTGTCTTAGGCGAATCTGACACATCTCTTCTCTCACCCGACGAGCGGAAGCATCTATATACCGACTCCTCGTGTGTCGGGGACCATAATAAAAAACTCGATAACCTCTCTATCGGTGGCCTGTCACGCAGGTCTACCACCAATCTAAATCAATAGTTTAAACTAATAATTAGTAAACTACCTTTTTAAATTCATATATTTTATTAATTATAGAATCATTGCAATTAACTATTTATTACTAATATGTACGCAAACTAATCATAATTACTATTATTAATTTATTTCCTAAAATACATTGTAATACAAGTAATAATTTTCCTAAAGAGTATTAAAAATCATTATAATAATTATCCGTAATCACGTAATTAATACAATTCTATTTTTTGATTATATATTTATACAAACTAATTAATTAATAAAATTATACAATTTTCTGAACTTATATTAGTATACTTATTATAATTTTTAAGACTAATAATTACTCAACAATTTTATTACATATATTACAACTAATTCGTTTTCTAAAATTATTAAAGTTAGATGCATTATCCTATTAATAATAAGTATTATAAAAATAAGTATTATTTGTTAGAGTAGGGTACCCGGCGTTCCAATCTAATTGGACGTATTCTACTTGTAAATACAGTCTATTGGAATTATATTATGAATAAGGCATTTCTTTATCTTAAGAGAAAGCATTTATCTTATAATTGCACTTAAGATAAAATCCATAGATCACTTATGGTTATAAGGTATGGTTGCGCATAGAGATGGTGATCATGGAACATACCTTGAAAGCCGTGATCTTAAATACAGTTCCAAGTCGATGGATGTTTCGAGATGGGATATCGAATAATCCATAAAAGACTTGCACATAGTTTGTATGCTTGTTGGACAAGAATGTTGCATTCCATCAACATTAGCGTAAGACGTAAGTACATTTATGTGGGTGCTTGTTAGAGAACAAGTTCACTGAACATGACCGTATGAAAATTCTTAATGAAGAATTTATTCAGTCGAATAAGAATTTTCATGTTACAATAGTACATGACTAATCCTAAGACTTGAGGCACAATGGTAACTTTGTGCATATTACATTCTACTTTGATTTATCCTTTTGGTAGCTAGCACTATCGTTTAAAGGGATAAGTTGGGTATTATGTTAATATGTATGGAAGTTTGTTAGTGGCCAATAAAGGATTCGACACTTATGAAGATAAGTGAATTTCCTATGTGTTTCATAGTTATTAATCCAAAGTCCTTGGCCAAGGCAGAGATGAATAGTGATTCATAACCGGGTTAATAAACATGAAATAGAATCATAGTTATTAAGTCAATTTGGGTTTCGACAAAATCATACCCAAGACTTAATCGGGAAATTAGATGTCGAAAGGATTTTACATGTATGGAGTTGTAATCGGAATAGGTTTACTCGCTATTCACTTAATACTAGATTCATGATACTTGCTAGGTGTTACCATGATATGTGGGTTCATGAATTAAGGGGTTAATTCTTGAATAAGAGTTAATAAGATTTAACTCAAATTACAAAGTGTTGTAAACCCACTACTAGTATTAATAGTGAACCTAAAAGGTCACACTAATTATGAACAAAGGTAAAGATTGTATTTCTAATGGTTAGAATTAATTGATAAATATCTAATTTGATTAGATGTCAATTAAAGGAATATATTAATCAATAAGATTGATTAATTACATTTTGGATATTACTTTAGTAATTAAAGTAATTACTAAATTAATAAAGTTGAATTTTAAAATAGGATTTTAAATTTCAAATCCAAAATAATAATAATATGATTATTATAAGATTGGGAAAATGATATAATAATAAAGTCTTGAGAAAGATTCTCAAGATTTATTATCCAATTATTATTTATATCTTTAAATATGATTTAAGGATTAAAATAAGAAATATGATTATAATAAAATGGTTGTTAATGGTTGTTTGAACTACTTAACATATCTTATTATTTTCAAAGTCAATGGTTAGTAAATACTATTTAAATAAAATTTGATTTTATTTAAATATTACTAAATATTGATTATTTTATGCTAAAATGTTTAGTATAAATAGATGCAAAATGTTTGCAAAGATGTGAAGTGATTTTGTGAGAAAATCAAAGAGAGAAGAAAGTGTTCTTCATATATTTCAAGAAAGTGTTCTTGATAATTCCCAAATTATATATATATATATATATTCCTATACAAGAAAACCGAGACATTTCTACTAGCGAAGAAAGGTCGTCGGAACCGGGCTTCATAGGGTGGATACGATTAGAGGGAAGACACTTGGATTCCTAAAGCGAGTAACCTCAAGCCGTTGAAGTTACAACCGGGAACCGATTCCCACAATCCACATCTTTGTTGAAGGAGTTCAAGACACTCGGTAAATATTTCGTATTAGTATTTACTTTATTATAACAAATCAAATTTTGTATATGATGCATATTTTAAAGATGACGATCTGTTAATTCGCAATTAGTATGTACGGGTGTTGTATTTATACGATAAATACTTACTTTAAAAATTTTAAATTCCGCTGCGTACAGCCCGTACGGTACTAACGAACCCAACATTATTATCATAAGTTTTAATATAATTACATTCAACTAATATATAATATATTATTTATAAGTAGTGATTCTCTCGTTGAGAGCTTGCGATTCTCTCGTTGAGAGCTTCAAAGTTTTTCGATCCTTTTTCTTCCATTTCCATTTCAGTTTTGCCATAAATCGTCAGTTGATATTCGAATTTCCCTCTGGTTAATCTAGAAATAGTTTTTGATTAGGGTTCCGAAATGGCGGGGCAGACTAGATTTAGCCCAGACGAGAATCTATCCGAACGGTTGGGCGACTTTTCACTATCTGAAAGGGAGGTTAATGTTATTGATATAGCACAAGAGGATATTCGGTTGAGCGATGACGAATGCCAGCGGAGTTTATTCGGGAAAATAATTGGAGATAGGATAGCTGGATGGTTTGGAGTTAAGAGAGCGATGACACAGATATGGAGACTCAATAAGCCAATGGAGGTGAAGGAACTCAGTCCCAATTACTTCCAGTTCATCTTCCAAAGTAAGGAGGATAAAGAACGAGTTGCAGGCGGTTCGAATTGGAGTTTTGAGAACCAGTACATAATTCTGAGGGAATGGACTACCAATTTGAATAGCAAACATAAAAGCTTCCAGGAAATCAATCTTTGGGCTCAAGTTACTAATCTCCCTCTGAATTGGATGAGTGCTGAAGTTGGACTGAAAATTGGCAGAACCTTCAAAGAGGTAAATAATGTGATCATAGCTAACACTGGCAGTCATGGAGGTAAATTGCTGCGTCTTCTGGTGACCCTTGATCTAGACGAACCTATTCCTAGAATAGCTCATATCAGGTTGGGGGACCAAATAGTCAGTGTTGGGTTTAAATATGAGAAACTTATGAATCTTTGTCATTACTGCGGGAAGATCGGTCATTTAGATAGAAGCTGTCAAAGAAGGTTGCAAGACATTAAAAACAAAACTCTCAAGGATGGCCAATATGGTGATTGGTTAAAGGCACCAGATAATATGAGATGGGCAGGAGGAAACTCAGGCAATAGAAATTCCCCACCAGCTTCACCATCCAACTCAGAACCAAGACATTCTCACAAAGCATCTACCAGTCAACCTGAGTCAAGCAACCACCAAATCATTCCTTTAAGCAATGAGACTCAGAAACAGACAATGGCAGCCACTGATAACCAGGATAATAACTTCCCACCAAACCATTTGATCCCAGCTACTTCCATCTCATCCTCCTCCAAAACTCAAGTTCCAGAGATTGGGCCTTCTGACATCCTCAATGAGGCCAACCAAGATTCTGGACAACAGATGGACTTGTATATCCCAGGGGAAGCTGATCAGAACACACAAAAGAAAGGGAAGGTGCTCACCATAACAGGACCAGCCAAAACCTGGAAAAGAATTGGGATCAAGACAGGAAGACTTCAAAGGGAGCCAGTCACACATACACCTATTGTTATTGACAACATCTCGGGTTCTAAGAGGGCCTCAACAGAGAGTGAGCTACCAGCATCCTCAAAAGATTCAAAGCAACAGAAACAAGGTGAATTTTCAAACCAAATCATTATTTCTGATAAGGTGGGGGCTGCCAGCCTTGAGTGGCACCCAAGTGGTCAATGTTAGCCATGGTGTGGAATTGTAGAGGGTTGGGTGGGCCCTCTACAATTTCCCAAATCAGAGAGTTGATAAAAACTCATCACCCCAATTTTCTTTTCCTTTCTGAAAAAAAAAATCTAAAGCTTTTGTTTGTACAGTTAGTAAAAAATTAGGTTTT